CATACATGCATACATACATAAAAAACATACATACAAACATGCATAGTACATACATACATGCATACATACATACATACCTACATGCATACATACATACATAAAGACATACATGCATACACACATACATACATACATACATACATGCATACATACATACATACACACATACATACATCACATCACATCACATCACTTTGCATACATTTCATTGCAATACGTGAACACCTGCTTACATACATACATACATACATACATACATACATACATACAGACAGACAGACAGACATTACATACATTACATACATTACATACATACATACATACATACATACATACATACATAAAAAACATACATACATACATGCATACATACATACATAAAAAACATACATACAAACATGCATAATACATACATGCATACATACATACATACATGCATACATGCATACATAAAAAAACATACATACATACACACATACATACATACATACATGCATGCATGCATACATACATACACACATACATACATCAAATCACATCACATTACATTGCATACATTTCATTGCAATACGTGAACACCTGCTTACATACATACATACATACATACATACATACATACATACAGACAGACAGACAGACAGACAGACAGACAAACATACCTACATGCATGCATACATACATACATACGCACACAGAACATACGTACCTACCTACCTGCCTACCTACCTGCCTACCTGCCTACTTACGTACGTACGTACTCATGTACGTACGTACATGCATACACACACACATATATGTATATATATATATATGTACACATGAACATATCAGCAGAAAGACAGCTGACGCCATGTGACGATGCTACCTATGCGAGGTATGAAGGATTATGCAGGCTTCAACCTCCCGTGATTTCGATGTTGCTGCAGCCTCCGTGTCGCCGTCGCCGCTGGCGGCGGTCGTTTTGGCGCCGCACCTTTCGCCTTACACCGATGCTTATCATCTATAGTTGCGCTAGGCTCTTAACTAGGCCAAGCCCTGGTGAATGACACTACACTAGTCAAGCTGCTGCTTGACACATGAGCTTGGCCCTCGACTACACCAAGTACTAGTACCTGAGAGGCCTTACCTTCAAAATGAAACGATTGTGAGGGACAGGGAGTCGCCACCTTACACCTTACCTACTACAGGTGCCTTCTACATAAATATTGGGATATATAGGTTTTTAAGGAGAATGTGAAATTTGAATGTGATACATCCAGCACATATATATATATATATATACACATACTTGTGACTGTGAGTACAATAATTTCGGACACCCCGTAATGTCTGTTTTAAGCTTAATGCCGCAAGGGGCGGCAAGAGCGGCAATGGAGACGCCGCGCACAGCACCAGTGAATCCTGAAAGCCGGGCTTCACTTGGTTCTGCCATCTCTTTTTGAGGCAACCCAGAGAGCGCAATGCCCTTCGATTCAGATGCTGCTTTTCAGGATGGACTGGGGAATATTGAATTGCAGCATGGCTTGTCCACAAGGGCACGGGGATGTCAGCAACAGCTCTTAAGCACGGAGTTAACATCCTGCACATTTCTACTGATGCACACTTGTCTCGTTGCTGTGGTCAGAAGAATACAAGGCAGCAGCAAACGTATTCGGCTCGCGCAGATTCAGCCCCAACGCACTGGACCAACACTGGTGATACCAAGCCTGCTTACCCTAATTCACAGCCAAATCACCTCCAGGATCAGCTTTGCCGACCGTCTTTGCCTCAGAAGTCAAGTTTAACATGTTGGTCTGATGCTTGTGGAGAAGGGTCGTCTGGAGTAGCGTTTCCGACACCCTGCGCGCGAGACACAAATCCAGGATAACCCTTCGGCCCATCGTGCAAGAGGTTTCTGAGGCCCAAACTCATCCCCAAAGCCAACACCGGCCCTTTATCCCTCTCGAAGCTTTGAACTTCCTGAAACATGAACCCCGCGCAGCGGCGTAAGAGTAGAAATCGTTGCGCACGCGCGGGACCGTCAGCACCAGCTTCTCCTGCGAGTGCTTTTAGGTTATGGGCTCATAAGCACCGTAGACGAGGTCGAAAGAAACCCATCTGCCCGGATCCTGAATCACTGCAACTACTTTATTGTTTGGCTCCCTGTGTTGATTATTATGAGACCCTAATCACAGAACAGGTCATTCAAAACAACTTATTACAGCCAAAGTCTACTTAGGGTTTATGCTTCTAGCTTGACATGTTATACCGCTTGTCCTAGGCTATAGATCTGCTGGTGCAAGCTTTGAATGCGCGCAGCCCAGCAGATGTATTTTGTACGTAACGAAGACTCAAGGTCAACAAACCGAAAGTAGCAAGTAGTTACTAGACACGGCGACATGCAAAGCCAGAAAATTAGAGGAATGTAGTTGCCCTTGTAAAACCTTCAGTATGTGCATTTAAAATTACACATCCTTAGAATGCACCCACGTACTTGCAAATGCCAGTGTATGCCGATCTACTTATTTGATTAAGTTGGTTGGTTAGTTGGTTGGTTGGTGGGTTAGTTAGTTAGTTCGTGAGTTAGTTAGCTAGCTAGCTGGTTAGTTAGTTGGTTAGTTGGTTGGTTAGATAGAGCGACAGATACACAAAAATGCAGAAATAAGGATAGAGAGACAGACAGACAGACAGACAGAGAGACAGACAGACAGCCAGCCAGCCAGCCAGCCAGCAAGCCAGCCACGCAGACGAACAGACCCACAGACAAACAAACCGATAGATCGACGGATAGATGAATGATAGATCGATCGACAGATAGATCGATCGATAGATAGATACACAGATAGATAGACAGATAGATAGAAAAAATAAATAGACCGATAGGTAGATAAGCATATGGCTAGACAGGTAGATAGCTAGAGCTGGAAGCATACCGATAGATCGACAGATCGTCGTATGCACTCGGAGGTCACATCATCTTGGGCGTCCTGGCCCGACGCCGACTTGAATCGCTCCTCCGATCCTCGGAGCAGGAGAAACCCAGCAACACCAAAAAAGGCAGAAGGTTAACAACTCTTAGTCTTCGTGTAAATGGGAACTTCGGCAAATGACGGACTCTACTGCTGATTTTTACACACCCGGCAGGTAGTAGGACCCTCGCTGCACCGTGGGTAACAACGACGGTAAACAGACCCAGCAGCAGCAGCGACAACGATATGTAATGGGACGAGAACCGGAACGAGCACGACCATCATGGCCATGCAGCACCCCTGACAATTCCAGGCGCACCCATCGACCTATAGATTTTACATTGAATTCTTCTGCATCCTGCTTCGGCTGCTAGTCCGTTAGTCCATCCAGACCAGCTCCATTCGGCAGCACCCACACCATAACCACCACCTCTGTCCCTAGGGCTCAAGTTACCTAAATAGTAGGTTACTGGGGTACATAATATATGGTTAGTAACCCACTATTTAGGTAACTGGAGCCCTAAGGTGTCATAGCCAGGAACATGGCCACTCACTTCAACGAACAGCCAACTAAATATTAGTGTGGAGCTGGCCCTGGTGCATGTAACACCGAGCTCTTGGATCCCCAGCGACCCAGAAATGGCACCTCCACCGCTTCCTGAAGTCCGAAGCACATGAAAGCATTGAAGCCGGAAACCTGTCAACCCTGTATGCATCCGGCCTGCAGCTCTGATCCATGAATCCTCAAACTTCAGCCGAAAGCTACACCTGAAACCTCGGGCTCAAACGAGTCTCCAAGCCTCATCCTACTATAGGATTTTATTGCGGCACGAGAAGCGTTAACGTATGATTCCTTCTGGGCTCTGGGCACCAACGAAAATCATTGGCTCTGGCATCCAAGTCTCCCCCGCTCTCACCAAGTCGAGCGCCTGCGCTCTGTGGCCTTCGGGCAGCAAGCTCTTAGAGCTGGGGGTTGTAGGTGCTACTATGAGGGTGATGCTATAATGGTTATGATACGACCTACGTCAGGAACAGGTATACATAGGTTTCGGTCACGGCTGAATCACAAGTCTTTGTGATATGACTCTCAGCATTCATATTCGGGCTCAGGGAAGCACAGAGTCTTCGAGACTTTTTCTCCGTCGCCTTCGACAAATGCAGGCAGAGCGCTGGGGTTTCAGAAGTCAAGAGTATTCATGAGATCAACCTGGTGTGAGAGCAGCCCACAAGGACGTCTCGGCAGCTTCAGCACTGAGAGTCGAGGGGGCCGCCCACTGCACCCCGGTCTGTCTGCGTACGCAGTGCTGCAGCTTGTCTTTCCACTCAGAGTTAAGTTCAAAACAGAGGAGTTAATAAAAGTGATGAACACCGGGGAGCCACAAGCTGCAAGCATGATGCCCTGGGCGACATCTGTGGGCCCAGGGGCTCTTGGTCGGGCCGCAAGGCGCCGTGCGCATTGAGGTGATAATTTCCCGAAGTGCTGACAGCCATTAGGTCTACCTAAGCCTAGTAGACCCTCTGAGTTTTGTCTGTCTACCTCGTGGAACTCACGTTTTCCATGACCCCACACATCAAAATGCGAGCGCTACCGCAGCCCGAGCGCACAAAGTCGGACAATCAAAGTCGAGAAATAGATAGACCGGGCCGTCTTGGGGTCCTGGGTGGTGTCCTTGTTGGGTGATGTTAAATCGCTGGAAATGAAAATCGCAGAAGATGCTTTGCAGATGATGCTTTGCAGAAACCTCTGTAACTTCGCAAGGCGGCCCGGCTTCACTACATAAGCCAAGATTCTGGCCGCATGAGCCATTAGAGGCAGGAGATCGCGCACAAACCAGCCGCGACTGCAAACGTTCAAGCCTGTTTTGAAGGACTTGCCGTCTCATTGATCATTAGGTGATCATTAAAGCATATTATAGCACACCCCTGGCATAGCCTCGAAACTCTGCCACCGCAGCTGGCCTGCCACCGACCTCGCCACCACCTGCGAAAAACGAAAGCAACGAGCAGCCTCGCAGCCCTCTGATGTCAGGGGCTCCGAGGAGCCTGATGCGCTCAAAATTGCTTCTCCGTGACACCGGCGGACATGATGCCCGTAGACGACAGGCCTCCGCTGATGATGTTGCCCATCTCGTCCACAATCTCGGAGCCGCTCCACTTCTGATGAGTGAGCGTCTCCACCTTGTGCTTGCGCTCCTCACGCTGGATCATCTGCACGTAGGCTGCGGCTCCCCGCTTGGCATACTCCTTGGCAAACAAGTCGATGTTCAAGGCATCGCAGTGGAAGCCTGCCAAGGTAATGAATTGCCAGCAAAAGCCCAACTTTGCAAGGTCCCAGATGAAAGACTCCATCTGAGCATCGGTCATGCCGGCGGTGTCCCAGTTGAAGGAGGGGCTGAGGTTGTAGGCTAGCATCTGGTGGGGAACTGCGGCACGGACCTCTTTGGCAAATTGGGTGGCCTGTGCGAGAATTGGCTTGCCGGTCTCCATCCAGATGCAGTCCGCATAAGGCGCGAAAGCAATGGCACGCTCGATGCAGAACTCCGTGGAGCCCGAGATGCGGTAGTAGCCCTCGACCGAGCGCGCAGCGTCCCAGTCGAAGAAAACATCGCAACCCATCTCTCCAGCCTTCTTCTTCATCTGATCCAAAGACATCTTCCGGGACTCCTGCTCCCACTGGCTGCTATCCTTGCCCTTGGCCTTCAAGGCTTTGCTGACAGCTTGTGGGTAAGTCATGCAGCCGGCACGCTGCTCCCAGTCCTTGTCGGTGCCCTTCCGCATGGCTTCGTAGAGTGTCTCCACCCCCTTAACGGTGACACCCTTGATGAAAGGGTGATCGATGGGGTCAATGTTGGAGTCGATCATCGTGGCCGCCTCGGCATCTGTTCGGGCAACAATGACCAGCGGCGAGTTGAGCACATCCGACTGCAAGCGGATGGCAATAAGGCGCTGGATGTGCTCCTGCGTTGAGACCAGGACCTTGCCGCCCATGTGGCCACACTTCTTAGTGCCGGGCTTCTGGTCTTCGATGTGGATCCCAGCAGCACCGTTCTCAATGAACATCTTTGCCAACTTCATGGTGGCGGTGAGGCCACCGTGGCCGGTGTCTGCATCCGCAATGATTGGGTTAAGGTAGTCCACAACGGGGGTCTTGCTTCGCTCCTCTGGAGACATGCGCAGTCGCTCCTCCAACTGCTTTCGGTCATGGAAAAGCTGAGCGCGGAAAAGTTGGTCCACCTTGTTTGGCACCGGGTCACAAGCGTAAAGCCCCAAACCCGAAACCCTAAACCCCCCAGGGCCCTGAACCCTGGCCACCTTGTTTGGCACCGTGTCATAGGGGTAGTCCGCAACATCTGGGCCTGGCTCGTTGCTGGTGGAGGCGGTGGACGAGCACTGCCAGCCGCTGACGTAGACGGACGTCAAATACTTCGCCATCTGAGTCACCTGCTGGGCTCTGAAGTATAACAAGGGGGAACGAAATTGTCTTCCGCAACGGTTCGTGTAAGGATACCACCAGATCCGAAGAGTGCACTTAAAAGGCTATATGATAATAATGTTTTGCAGTTCAGATCCCAGCCTGAACGGTGTCCAGGGCTCCAAAAGTGTGGGAGCAAGTTCCTTTGGCCTGATGGTCCCGAAGCATGGAATAGAGCTTCTCCGACAACTTCGCGCCAGTGAAGTGAAGAGGGAGCGTTCCTTGGAGCTTCACCACATCCTCAACCTTGTAGGGCCGCGTAGTGTGCTTGAAACGGTCCGTGGCCATCCAGGCCTTCATGTCCGCACACCGCTGGGCGAAGGCATCCTCGGGTGCGGCCACGGAGGAAATCTCCAGGCCGCCACTGACGGCCGGGGATCCTGCGAGGACCTGGCGCTGGATGGCGGCAACACGGTGCGACATGGCGACTGAAGGAGAAAGCTAGCAGAGAAGGAGAAGCTTGGACCTTTCTACATGAGCCGACAAAGTCGTGGGACGGTGTCCTGGCGTTTGACACATGGCACTGCCCTTCCGATCCAACCTCTACTCTCATAGTAGCTTGGCACTCGCATCAACACAAGGGGGCCAAGACCATTCAACTCAGCATGGTTCTTGCTCTGAAATCGGAGACTGTAGCAAAGCCTGTCTTCAGCACCTCCTGCCAAGAATCCCTTTCTCAAGGCCTGCGCCGGGGTGTCGTCTTCGGCGTCGCCGGCTCAAACTGCGCATTGATAACGGAGCTCCTTCAAGCTTGCGGCGCTATATTGCCGGTCACTAGTCGACATAGCAGATCGCACTCTCTGCCACAACAAAGGCCGAATCGGGAGCACGAAGCTGTGTAAGACATGCATGCTTATACATCTTGATTAAGAGCAGGCATAGGACATACGAGTAAATGTAGGGCTTTTAGACCCTGCCGTGTTACTTCTGAGCAGCAGGGGGCTCCTCGGAGGTGAGGGCGTGCGACAGCGTTGTGCCCAGCTGTCCTGTCTGTCTCCAAGAGGGGCTTTGCGGCATTTATACAGTTCACCAGCATCTCCGATCGGCATGGCCGAACAGTCAGAACCTCTAAAGGATTCACAAAACAGAACTCTTGACAACATGCTTTATCTGGCAAGTGATGGGCGACCCTCGTTGTGGCCTCCTCTGTGACAACCGGCTCGCGGCAGCCGAGGCATCGAACAGACGCGGCGAACTGGGATCCGAGCACACGCCTTGGGCAGCTGCTTTGAAAGTTCAGCAGCACGGAGTGTTCACCAGGCTTTGAATCTCTCTGTGTATAACCACTGGGCCGAACGTTGCTCCTCTATGCGTGGACGTTCTGATCGAAGGTTAGAAGTTTCTTCTTCATTCCAAGCTTCGCGAACAACAGAGTCTGTGCCCTGCATCCACACGTGCAGTTCCAACAGAATCTCCAGAGCGTTGAAGCTTCATTTCTTGACGGGTATACAATGGAGAGCTGAGCTCTGAGCTGTGCGTTGGCGTTCAACTCCTCCATGCGCCGCTGGAGGTCGTCGAAAACCTCCACCTCTTTACCGCTGAGGTCTCGAGTTCATGGTGTCGGGTTCCGGATATGGGGCGTGAATCCGGAAGACACTATCATCCTTCTCGGCGACTCGTTCGACGAGCCTGTATGTGATCAGTCCCCATACTTCCTGTCTTCTTTTAAGCAAGGCCTTCGGCAGCCCATAAAATTTACTGAACTAGTGGGCACTGAACTACTGGGTCCTGGGACGCCTGGGGCCTGTATGGATTCAAGACGGATCAAGAACTAGTTTTATGGTTTAGGGTTCAGGGAAGGCCGCAAAGAAGGGTGGCAAGGCTAGGCTTCAGATCCGTTGGCGGCCTTGTCGTCCAAGATGCGACCCAAGCGTGTGATCTTGTTGACATCATCCTCACATCGTCCCTGCCGACTCCTGCCGGGTTTAGGGTTTAGGACGTCTAGGAGTGAACCACTGTAGGACTCGGTAGTGTCTCCTTAACACCCATGGCCAAACAACCCTACACCCTAGCGACCCTATAAAATGAAGTTATTTCAGAGGAGACGATGAGCTGCCACGCTGCACTTTCTTCTATCTGCTGCCCACACTGCCAAAGCCCTGCAACCCTCTACCCACTCCGGTCCCAAGTGCCACCAGCTCTTCGCCCATATCGCGGACCTTCTGGATGCAAAAATTTACGGTTTAGCCTTTATAGGGCTAAGGTAGGGACATTAAATTAGTGCTTCAGAACTTACACACGCTATCGAGGGGTTCGGGTCGCTAGGCTGTTGGCTGAGGCTGAAGATGTGAACCCAGGCTCTCCTCGGATTTGGCTTTAGGTTTAGGGTGGGACAGGGGGAGGGGGGGGGGGGGGGGTGGTAGAAAGTGTTTCTGAATGTTCAGGAGTTAGAGAAGTTTCTTTCGGATTCATGGGTTGCCATCACTCAGAAACCGGCCTGGCAAGCCGTATATGGAACCCTCCAGCAGAAACAGAACACGTCTCCAGGCGGCTCGGGATGCTGCTTTCATAGAAGAAACACACGAAAAGGATTTTCTACGACTGGGCTCCAAGCCCCAGACCCTATAACCCGCGAGCGCTAAGCTGCCACTCTAATGTGGGGGGGGGGGGAATACTTCCCTGAGTGTTCACTTTCGGGGGTAGCTTTGTATCTTTTTCTTTCGAGGTTCGATGTTTTTAGGTCTTGGGAAACACATGTTAATGGTAGGGGTCTTGGATAGTATGTGTAGTGACCTTAAACTGTTCTGTGTGGTGATGACTTGTTGCTCTTGCCATTACGGTGGTGTATGTTATGCATGTTGTGTTTGATGTCGTGCGGGATATGCCGATTCTGTGGTGCTACTGCTGCTGTCGTGTGCTACTGCTTTTGCGGTTGCTATGACGATGGCATGTGTAACGTCCGTCAGAAATGTTATGCAAGATCTCTAGTTGTCTGCGACAGGGTAGGATGGGATAGAGCCGTTGCAGGCCAGGAAGCCTGGCCCAGGTCGTACCAGTAGAAGTTAGTTGTTTTCACATAGCATAACTAGTTGTTTGTGACATGAAAGGTTGGAGTGGCATTGTCGCTGTACACAAGTTAAAAGTGTGCGTGCCTGCGGCCACGTCCTCCTCCTGCTCCCCAAGAGTAAGCAGAGCACATCACGGAAAGCAGCACAGACAGAAAAACACGGAAAGCGCAAAGAGCGGGATAGCAAGAAACATGGTTTCAGGGAGCCAGGAATATAACACGCAGGCCACGTTGTTGGAGCTTCGGACGAAGTCGCAACCAAAGATGTACGACCAAAACTGACGTTAGTTTTGGTGCAACAAAAAAGCGGAAATGAGACAGAACCCTCGGCTACGAAGAGTGCAACATATGCAAGAAGGCGAAAACCTCGCGGAGGTCGGTGAGGGAAAGTCAGCACTGAAGGACAGGGGCATGCAAAAAACACATAAACAACTGCAAAAAACACACCCGAAAGTGAACCCGGTAGGTAATAATTAGAATAGGCACGCACACCCCCACACACACACACACACAGGATTACTATCATACACCCCAAAACCCGATTCTATCCCCTAAGCCCTGAACCTCAAAGCCTGATTCTAATCGTTCTGGACCCAATATGTTTCAATAGCCGGCCTGGGCTGGCATCGGTAGGAGATCCTCCAGCACAGGACGTGCCCAAAGGGCAAAGTTGCCGTGGTCTCCTAAGAAGCCCAGAGGGCTTAAGGGTTCGGGTCACCATACTGGATACTTTGAGGGATCAAAAACAGTTGTAGAAGTTGTAGACGTGTGCTCTAAGGACTTGGGGCTTTTGGGTGTAAGGCACGGGACTTGTTGGTTTTGAAGTTTCTGTTTTGAAGTTGTCGTTCACAGGTTCTGTTTTGTATTTTCTGAAGTTTGCTGCGTTTCGGGAGTCAAGATTTAGGAGCTTCGGGGTTTTGACGCTGCTCCGTTGCCTAGGAGTCTGTGATGAGGGTGCTTTAGTAAGGCCTTGGCCTTGGAGTGTTGGGGTGGCGGGCTCTAGAGATCACAGCAAGCATGGTCCAAGCGTACGAACGTGGAGCTACCTGCCGCCTTCCGCTCGCTGACCGCCATGAGGCTCTTAAACTCTCACAATGAGGACATAACACCGGCCATCACCCCAGTATAGACGTGTCTTCACACAGCTTGCCTTGTAGACCTTGCAACGGCTGTCATGGATGACCATGAACTTCCGTCAGTTCTTTCACTGCCCTCAACATCATCACAAGTATCGGTATCATCATAACAATCATGGTCATGGTCATCTGGTCTTGTTCTTCGCCACCCAACTCGGTATCGTCACGACACATATACATCTTCAGCGCCATGGCTGTCGTGAGCATGATGACCTATTTTCTACCACCACCACCACCACCACCACCACCAGCAACAACCATAACAACACACTTTGAGTTTTGCATGATGTCTCTGGTTGGTCACACATGTGATGGGCCATGCGATATGGACCTACACCTACCGGCATGCCAACAGGGCAGCTTGAACGTGTCGCCTTCCAGCTCTCCAGCTCTGGACGGCGCAAGCTTATCTAGCCCCCTCCCAACTCCGAACCCCACCACCCGGCATCATAGCAGTTGCTCTTGCACTGGAATCCGGGCTTCAAATCCTGCTTGGAAGCAGCACCTGCGCACTCGAGTAGGACCAACTCTGGGGACCAACTCTAACTACTCGCAAAAAACATTGGAAGGCGTCATGCGAATGTGTATGGGGAGAAGCAACCAGATTACTAGTACCATGAACTCGATAGCACCAGGAAAACACAGCTCGAGCGTGCAATTCCGGAAAGGATCAATTCCCTGCATAAATACTTCCAAAAGTAGGCATGTTGCTCTGAGCAACATAGCATTTGTACATGTAGGCACTGTGACGAGTACTATATGCTTACTATTGCCACGCCGAAGCTCGACGCAGGTCTTGGACATGGGAGGCCAATGTGGACAGCCTCAGTGGCTGCGTGTGGCTTAATACGAGTGTCCTTGTCACATGTTCCCTTCACTGCTGTTGATCCCTTTAAGGTAATTACTCATAACCCCTGCGTGCTTTGGAGCATAATGGTGTAGGGCTGGCTTAGGAAGCTTTCTATGACGGGGAGACGGTGCGCACAGGCATGGGATGCACGTGTTGGGGATGCGGCGTGGGACGTGTGGTATGGTGCAGCCGACAATGAGCAAGAATCGGATTCCGGTTCTGATCACGTTTGGTAGGCGTGCACTATCGCGTCTACCTGTTCAGATGCACATCACAGAGAGATCGTGCATAAGAAACTGAAACTCGAAACCTGCAACACGGCTAGCTGAGCTCTAGGGGTTCATTAATCAGGGCCCATTAGGGCTTCACCTCTCACTCGGAAGGTCGACTTTACAGTTCCGCCGGATAAGGAAAGATCAGAGACCAAATAGTAAATCAACGAAGCGCCCTGATCTTCGGGCTAGGTTTCTTGTCATCTTAGAACCAAAACCCTGTATCCTTCACAGCCCTAATGCGTCAGCCCCAGTCCTTAGTTCAAGCTTGGGGCTTAATCTTGGGAACCTATGAGCAAAAGCCCTAAACACCTAAACCCTAAACCCCTAAATGCCCTAGCCCCCTGAAGGCCCTAAAACTTCTGGCTCCCAGCGGCTCCATGCGCATGACGTCGCCACAGAGGCTCTGGTCCAGTCGTCGGAGGTCCTCGTCCAACCGAGCCTGGAATAAGAGGGTTGGGTTTAGGGGTTTAGGGTTAACGGTTTAGGGGATTAGGGGTTTAGGGTTTAGGGTTTGGAATAAGAAAAAAGGACTATACTTCAAACTGTAGGGGCCTTAATAAGATGATCTAGGGCATATTCCTTAATGAAGGGGTATTGGGCTCTCTGACCCCCAAACTGAAGACCGCAAAACAGCGCAAGACTCTAACCGGCTAAATACCCTTCAATGAAACCTTCGACCGAAACATTGCCACGGGCTCCCTTTGGCCCCTTATGGGTTTCTCAGTCAAGCATGGATAAGAACCTACCTGCCCAGCAACCTCGGGCTTGGAAGGTGAACCAGGTAGCCTTTAAGTTCCACCATGTGGGATTCACCCTAAACCCTAAACCCTAAACCCAGATGGCCTGGGGCAGGTAATCGGTTTAATTTAGGGTTCAGGATTTCCCCTGGGACTAGAACGCCAAAAACAGCTCCAAGGTTCAGTTGGA